CCCCCCCCCTCGTTTTTTGTGGTCAAATGCGGCTGAGTGTTGTCATAGAAATAGAGAACTCGGAAGCAACAGTTTTTACTTAGAAAAGAATAGAATAATTTTTGTTCAATCGTTGCATAATGAAAGCATTAGTAACAGTATTATGTCACATATGCTAGAGCTAATTCAATGTTAAACCTCTCTATTTCCAGTTATGTTTAGGCTGTTAAGAAGAAGAAGAAAATAACCTCCTAACTGAATTGATTATTGTTGTTGAACTAAATCCAGAAGAGGGTTAGAGTTTTGGAACCTTGTTGAACTTAGAAATTTTCAAAGACTAGAAGTTGGATCACATTGACCGGCTTTGGAGCCTTTTCACCATCAAGTTCTTAGTTCTATCCATATTTTTTCAAAAGAGCAAGCCAGAACTAATTTCCTAGTCTTTTAGGTACAATCTCCACATTCCACACATGGGCGAAGCTACATGTTATAAAGGGTGGTCAACTGACCACTCTTTGTCGGAAAATTACACTGCGTATATAGGTAAAATATTAGATTCTAGAGGTATATAACATATATTGAACACTTTTTCTCGGAGAATATTTTTCACATCTTTCAAGTTTGAACACCCTTGAATAAATTCCTGGCTTCGCCACTGAATTTCTACACTTTGGTTTTTTTAGTCCCATATATGATCTTTTTTCATGAGGCACAAATCATAGAAGGCTTAGGATTAGAAATAATTTGATGCGCGCATTTTAGTAATCAGGCAGCTCTATGGGAAAGCGAAATATATAGATATTTTTCTGCGTGAAGAATAGACTGAGAAAGAACTTTTTAACATTTGATCAATTCCTTTAAACAATGTCCCAATCAGAGCAGCACTAAAAACGGGACACAGAACACATTGCTATTGGGCGCCATGACAAGATTTTGTTGAAGTAAAGCAATTTGGTCGAACAACTGGAAGCTGTTGAGATATGTGGAGTAAGAAGTTAAATAAATAAAGCCTTTAGAAGCAAACAATAAGGATATGAACATATTTCTCCTATCTAGCATCCAACAGTGTCATGCTTATTTCATTTCCAGAACATTCACCAAGCTTGCTAGATGAACTGTCAGTTTCAGCGAATCGACTTCTGCTAGTAAAAAAACCTGGGTCTTTAGGCGAGGGCAACGGAACATCACTAGACAACATCAACACAACTGATGACATGCTAGGCCTATCGTCTGGACATTGCTGCACACACAATAGACCTACATGGAATGATCTTTGCACTTCAGACAGGTTTCTCGACTCCCTTAGATGTGCATTTATTAGTTCCAAAACCCTGCCTTCATTGAATAGGATCCACACCTGAACATTTGATATCATGCAGTTAGATGAAATATGTTTTACTAACATGATTTTTGCTCCATAAAAGATAAACAAAAAGAGTTCCTACATGTCCTAGAAGATTATGGTGATGGTCTGGATGGAAGAACCCTCTATTTCTCTTCCCGCTTAAAATCTCCAGTACTAGAACTCCAAAGCTAAATACATCTGATTTCACTGAAAATATTCCTTCTTCTGCGTACTCCGGAGACATGTAACCACTGTAGGACGATGTTAAAACAAAGAGAATAAGTAATTTTTTAGTGGAGTGCAAGTAGCTCATTGGTATAGAGATTCTTACTATGTCCCAACCACTCTAGTTGTCATGGCTCCCGTCTCATTTCCTCCGAAACTTCTTGCCATGCCAAAGTCGGATATCTTTGGGTTCATATCAATATCTAGCAAAACATTGCTAGGTTTAAGATCTCTATGGATTATCCGCAGTCTTGAGTCTTGATGAAGATAGAGAAGTCCCCGTGCAATTCCATTAATAATATGGATGCACTTAGTCCAATCAAGCAGTGAGCTCCGATCTCTATCTGCAGAAATCCAGATCTTATTAAAGGATTATATATTTTCGAATCAAAGAAAAAGTTAATCAAAGCCAACAGATGATTGAAAAGCAATGTGTTGAATTTCAGAGAAGTGAACACCAACCAAAAAGGAACCAATCCAAGCTTTTATTAGGCATGTACTCATAAATCAACATTTTCTCTTCTGCTTGAATACAGCAACCAAGAAGCTTCACTAGATTCCGATGCTGGAGTTTAGCTATGAAGATAACCTCATTCATGAACTCATCAGTTCCTTGCGCTGAGTATCTTGAAAGTCTTTTGACTGCAATTTCTTGTCCATCTTTCAGTATCCCCTAGGTATCGTCACACAATTAGGTGAAAGTGTTTCTGTAGATTTTTTTACTGAAAAATAGTAAACTAGAGCTTGACGCCTTCTTTGGTTAGCTTGTTTGAAGCAGTGGCGAAGCCACATGGTTATAAGGGTGGTCAGTTGAATATCTTGAAGTTGTTAAGCAGTTAGTTTGGAGAAAAAAGAAAGAGCTGCAGTTAACATTCTTACTTTGTAAACTGGTCCAAAACCACCCTCTCCAAGCTTGTTGTTCAGCGAAAAGTTACTGGTAGCTTCCAAGATAGTTGCAAAATCAAACAATGGTAAATCAAGATCGTCATCTTTGCTTTCATTAATTCTGAACATTTCAGAGCTTCTCGTTCCTCTTCCTGTCAATTTAAGGACTTAATTTGATGCAAAAAGGAAAATTCTGAGAGTTACCAATCAGAGCTCCAAATTTCAAATCAGCAAAACATCTGGTTTACCTTCGCTAAAACATTGCTGATTCTGATCCTCCTCCTCCTTCTTCTTCTTCTTCTTTCGCCTCATGTACAAGATCAAGCATAGTGCTGAGAGAAGACTTAATGCTGCCAGCGGCAAGCTGATTCTCAGGATCTTTAATTTCTCTCTACTAGAGTTTCCTGATGATTAATATAAATTCATCCAAGTTTCATTAGTAGGAACTCTTTTTTTTTCCAAATAATGTAGGAAAGCGTCTTTGTTTTACTTTTTTCAATTTGTTAATAAATGGGCCTCGAGCCTAACTCAAACCAAAAGCTGGCCCTGAGGTGATGAATGCCCAATATCAAATAAGGAGATAACAACGCACTTCCTCCTCAAATATGGCATACTTAACAAAAATAATATAGGAAAATATCAACTTGCTCAAGGCGAAAAGCTCTAAAAAACACTCCAAGTCTATTGGGGCTTTAAGCATAATTGTAATAAAAGGTGCAATGGAGGGAAAAAGTAAAATTATAATGTAATTCAAGAACAAATTTAAAAACTCATTCATAATGTTATTCTTAACAACTAACATACTTATTCCCGATTATATTTGTTGTTTAGCACTGCTCGATTGAAGATAGAAGTCATGGGTTATAAGGAGCACGCCTTGATGGCTTGCCTCAAAGCCTTGCGTAAGCTATTTTGAACTTGAGGGCTTAAGCGAGCCTTAAATATAAGTAAAAATACGGACCTGTACCTATCTCAGAAGAGTCCAACTTTATATAGATATCTTGCCCACTAGCACCAAACTCTCTGATGTCCATCAGCTCATCAAACCAAAGCAAGCAGCTTCCGTTTGTCCCTGTTATGTCTAGATTTGCATAGGCTACACACGAGCAGTTTCTCAGGCACAATTCCTCGCATGCATTAAGAGTAACTCCTTGACCATACCAGGAAAAACGAGTGTCTGGCAACTTGATGCCTGAATACTTGAAGAATTTAACTTTCTTTTGGCAATTCAATGGTACCTTTCTAACACAGCCTCCTGACCAATTTCCCCTTGCCCAATCTGTTGGATCTTTGGGTTCAAATTTATCCAAACATCTGCAGATTGGAGAATTGCCGCTGTTGCACAGACCATATGTGTGACACTGACCATAAATGTCACAGTTGTCTGCCGGTGCGCTACCAAAGGCATCCCAATTCTGAGTTTGATTATTCCATATTGAAAACTCTAGAAAACCATTCAGTTGCATCACTACCCTGGCAATGATAGAGCTGTCTGTGAGCTCATACGTGAAGTATACTTTCTCAGGATCGAATACAAATATATATTTATAAGCAGGACTTGGTAGCAGAGATGGTGAATTAGCAAAGCTTTGACCATTCCACGCTCCTCCCCTGAAGCGTTCGACGGTACCGTTCATGAGAAATGGCTGTGGAAATCCTTGAGGATCGAATATGAAACTAAACTCACCCTTAGAGGGGTCAGTTCTGCTCTTCCATGACCATAGGGAACGACGAAAACCAGTCTTAAGATCGATCCCAACCTTAACTCCAGGTAAAGCTGTGTCACCGGGATAGTCGAAACTCTGCCACAAGTAATTCTTACTTGCATCCCTAACTACAAGATTGCCTGAATCAAGAAGCTGAGCAATTGGATTTTGCACACTTCTGATGGCACTAGAGGACCAAATGACACGACCAGAACCGTTCAGAAGAGTAAGATTTCCTTGTCTTGTAAAATTTAGCATACCATCTGTATCATTGAGTGGATTGTCTCTATTAGCAACCCATACCACTGTCTGTATGTTGTTGAACCATATTCCAAGGTATCGTTTCCTGGATGTACCAGTACCAAGGGAGAAAAATCCCAACTCAAACTTTCCACCTGATGAAATGATGGTGTTTCCATCTGTTAAAGGTTGGTCTGTAGGTATGGTATCTGCAGCACTAGAAAGAATCAAAACAGAAAATATGGAAGACAAGAAGAAATGAATATTTATGGCTTTCATTGGTTTCTGTGCGTCTACCTTAGTATTTTACTAAAGGAATTTGCAGAGTTTTCAATTTCTTGTTCAAGAATAATGTTGGGTTATTAGATGACTTATGTGAAACATGATGATGATGATGATAGAGAGCTTAGTTGGTTAACGTGATTGAATGCAAATTAATATTATATTTTTCCGCTGAGACCAACTTGTAGTCAAAGTGTGTGGATTTGAAAAAATACCAAGACTTGAGGTGATGGTTCTTACTGAAATGGCTGGCACCAAGAATTTTCTCTTTTAATTAGTAGTAATAAGCAGCCTTTCAAATAAACACGGTCAGAAAATGGTGTTGTAAGGGGTAACTGTAACTGAATCAGAATAAGAAATTAAAGGAGAAGAGAAACTTTTTTCCTGTTTCGGCAAAGGTAATTTTCACGCGAAGGGGTGGCAAACGGGCGGGTCGGGTCGGATATGAGCGGGTCAAAACGGTAATTTTAAAAAACGGATAAATTATCCGACCCGACCCGTATTTGAGACGGATAAAACGGGTTTATCAGGCGGATAATACGAATATCCATATTATCAAATGCTTCTGAAATATGATCACTTGTGAGAGAATTCCTAGTCTTCCAAACTTGAGGAACTCCAATTTGAGGCTTTACAAATATAAAAGTTAAACACATTAGTTATCCATTGGTTACCCATTTGGTTAACCATTTTCTAAGTGGATAATATGGTTCTTTATCCATAATCGACCCGTTTTTAAATGGTTCATTATCCAATCCATTTTTTGATGGATAATATGGGTGGATAACTGTTTTCTTTTAACCATTTTGCCACCTCTATTCACGTGTAAAAATATAAAAGTACCTCTGTGTCACAACCCAAAATCAAACAAAGGTCGTGATGACACCTAACTCAACCCACTAGGTAAGCCAAATTGTATAGTTACTACTATAACGAGAAATCATATTATAATAAATAAGACTGCAAAAGAATTTAACACAACTACCCCAAGGACTGGTAGTACAAAATATGAGCCATTATGATTTAGATTTACAAAGTTGGTGAAAGGAACAAATACAACATCTATTTGAAAGTTACATAAAAAGAGATGAAATCCAAGCTACCATGAAAAAAATTAGGTAGCATCAATCCGCCACGCAGGTATGTCTCCAATGCAAAGCTCCATCTACATAGCTACTCAACTCTAAAATCTGCACGCAAGTTGCAGAAGTGTAGTATGAGTACAACCGACCCCATATACTCAGTAAGTATCTTGACTAACCTCGGAGAAGTAGTGATGAGGTTTTATGTCAAAAGATACTCACTAGTCAAATAACTTGTGCAATATATCAAAGACTGACAACAGGAAATATAACATAAAACAATAACAATAATCTCATCCGAACAAGTGATAACAATTCAATACAGGTAAAGCCTCAGACAGCAAATCATCAAATAGAAACGCTCACATATGGCACCACGTACCCACATAATCAATCACATTCACACGGCAAAGACCTCGTGCCAAAATGTAAGTCACACTTGTATGGAAAAGGCATCGTGCCACAATCTAATTCATACTTGCACGACAAAGATCTCGCGCCACAATATTATCCGATTTCGTATCAGTTGCAAAATAACGTGTTCAAGAGAACTTTTCAAGAATTAAATATATTCATGCAGGATGACAACTTCCTCATATCGTCAATTCGATATGGGCCTTTTGACAATAAAATATGAGATATCAACTCCATATAGGTAAATCTAACTTGGCAACCAAATCATCAAGTAATAAAAAAGGCATAGCTTAGCATGTTAACTACAACATAACAAAATATGTAAGAATGCATGACACACATAAGGAATTCATATGTAAATTCAAAGATGCTACCCTCGTACCATCACATAAAGATAAAGAATAAAAATCTCCCCCATGCCACCACATAAACATCCCTACAATGCCACCATTATGTCGCTACATGCGCATCGCAATTGTAACAACCCGATCGATCATTTTGAGCATTTTCATTCCATTCGGTAGTTTGAGGTCTTGAGTAGCTTCATATGATGTATTATGATTTGCGCGTATGATCGATTTTGATTTTTGAGTGGTTCGAGATTGATTTGGAAGAGGTCGGGCAGCAGGCTACCGCGTTCACAACTGGAGCTCGCGTTTGCAATGGGTTAAGACCAGATGGCGCGCGCGTTCACATGATAGAGGTCGCGTTCGCGAATAGATTTTTGGAGGCACGGCGGGTTAAGCTTCGCGAACGCGAAGGTACTACTGCGATCACGTAGGATACTGTCGGGCAATGCATATAAGATTTTATTTTGGACTATGAGCTCATTTTATCATATTTGGAGATCGGGAGCTCGGATTGATACGATTTTTAGGCGATTTTCACCCACTTGGACTGGGTAAGTGTTTTTTTTACTCGGATTTAATTATTATACATGACTCCATCTTTGATTTTTGCATTTGATTTATGAATCAAAAAGATAAATTAGGGGTTTTGAAAAAACTTTTCTACAGTGAATAATTTGATTTTGAATATCGATTCAGAGTCGGATTTGGATGAAACTTGTATGATTGGACCCATATTCGAATGGGTTGTCAGAATTTATGAGATTTGCCGAGTTTCGGGATGCGGGTTTAGGTTGACTTTGAGTATTTGATTAAAGATTCAAACTTTATCGTTTGGGTTTGATTCTTATGGCATTATTTGATGTTATTGAGTTTTTTTGGCTAGATTCGAGCCGTTCGGAGGTCGATCCATGCGGGAAGGTATTTTTAGAGTATTGATTTGGCTTGTCTAGGGTAAGTATCCTAGCTAAACTTAATTTAGGCACTAGTTTCCTGAGTTATTGGTGATAGCTACGTGCTATGAGTGGCGCTCATATGAGGAGGCCAAGCCCAAATAGCGTGCACTTGGATATTATTCATGTTCGGGGTTGTTCTTAGGATATGATATTTCTTGAATTGATTGCTAAGATTCATGATGTTATGTTCTTATGTTTGTAGCACTTTGCGAGCTAATTAAACAATGTTTGAGGTTACATATAGGTTAATCTCCTGATTTGTCATGATAATTGCTACTTTCATGATGCAATTGCCTAATTTGAGTTATGGTATTACACTTCTCACTTGTACATACCTTATCATGCCACTTATATCAGTCCATGAGTATGTAATTTGATTTTAATTGTTCATCTACATGCATTATTGTATACATGCTTTCTGTGTGATATGGATTGGATTGATAACACGTGAGCTGTCTGTGCGGATCCGAGATATTATTGGCATATGAGTTATCTGTGCGAGTTGTTACTATTGGCACATGAGTTATCCGTGTGGGATGTTGCTACTTGCACGTGAGTTGTCTGTGCATGATGTTACTGAGTTATCTGTCTCTTGATGGCGTACACGCAGGTTATCATAAATCGTCAGGTTACTGGTTGATGTGGATTTTGGTAAAGTTGATCATTGGTTGGACTTTTCATCTTTTCTTTATTTGCAAACTCCTTGGGTGTATACATAATTTTCTGCATATCTTCTCTATATGTGAATCTGTGTATCTTGACTTGTTTAATCATGCATGTGTTCTCTATATGCACTTGTTGAAGTTTTAATTGCTATTTCATGCATATCTTCTCTATATCCTACTGTGGAAGGATTATTTGATACTTTACGCATATCTTCTCTATATGAAAGTTTGATGATTCTATGAAATTGGACACATATCGTCTCTATAGGCCGGATTGTTAACTGATTCAGGACTTAGCGCATTATCTCTTCGTGTATCGATGTGGTTTTACCTGTGTTATATAATTAGATGGCACCATTGCTTTGTACTTGTGAAATTCAGCAATTGAAGAGGTCGTTAGCGGGTATCATAATAGTTCTTGCCTCTATTATCTCGCTGAGGTTGGTTATGATACTTGCTGAGTACATAGAGTTGATTGTACTCATACTACACTTCTGCACCTTGCATGCAGTTTATTGGAGCCGAGTTGCTGTGGATGACGAAGGCAGTCATTGATGTTGTAGCTGAGTCCCAGATTCGAGCTACCATTTGTTCATGGTAGATCAGAATCTCATTTCTGTTTATATAATCTTCAATCAGATGTTGTACTTATTTCTTTTACAAGTATTATAAATTAAATCTTAGTAGCTCATGACTTGTACTAACATTCTTTTGGATAATATTTGGAAAGTTTAGCTATTTTATTTATTGATTATTTCTGATCTTGATTAAAATTGTGTAACTTTTATTGAATTACCTAGCAGGTTGGGTTGGGTGCCATAACGACTAGATAGAATTTGGATCATGACATGTTGGTATCGGAGCTCTTGGTTCATACGTTCTACGAGTCATGAGCAAATATCTAGTAGAGTTTTGCAGATCCGTATGATGACGTCCATACTTATCATCGGGAGGTTACAAGGCATCTAGGAAACTTCACCTCCTTTCATTCCTTGTTGTGTGTTGACGGCCAATTTTAACCCTCCCTTTTAAATTAATTTACATATACTTAATAATTTAAAATAAATATTTTGAAAGTATTTTCTATCAATTAATACCTATTTTTACAAATTAATTAAGTATTAGTTTTGAAACTAATCACCCATCATTATTATTATGTAATTATAAAAGTACTTATTATTTTAATATTATTAAAATAATTTTTAATATGCCATAAATGTTTTATCATTAATTACTTCTAAAATTTGGATTAATTAGATTACTATAACTCAAAATTAGTGTTGTAATTTAGAAAATATAAGTATTTTATAAGTAACTACAATAATTAATAGTATATTGGATATTTGTAATTTTACTATATTTCATTGGAAATTAAATCAATTTTATTTTAATTAATTTCAAAAAGGTTAAAGACTAAATGGGCTACATTTGCAATAGAACAATTAAACACAAACTGGCCATTCTTAAAATTAAAACTAGCCCAAATACTCGAGGCCAGTTATCCTATCTGACCCAGTCCAAAAGAGCCTATATTCCATGTTGGCAATCCACCCCCATCTCCACGAACCAATCAGGTTGTGCCACGTCACTCTCTAATTCCACTCACAAAACAAATACAAACAATCTAAGCTATTG